CATTCGATTATCCGAAAGGAAGAAACGAAGGCCAAACATTATTCAATAAAGCAAAACTAGTGGAAAAATACAAGGGATCAGGACATTTACATAAACTGATCATAAATCATACTGGCGCTTAAGGCGCCGCAAGTATGGTTATATTGGTTCACCTCCGCATTTCGCTACTGACTCCCGTCCAAAGAGGTTTTTGCATTGTCTAACAAGTATTGAAAAATCCATTAAAATCCAATAGACCCGATAATAAATTAAAATAAGCAATTCATTTAAGTTTTAAGATCATTACTGTTTATTACTAATATATTATTATAGCTAACGGGGTGGTACAAATTTAACATAAATTATAATTTTAATTAAAATAACATTTGTATCATATACAGCTTTTACTATACAGTTACATGTTGATTGTTTTCGATTCTGAACAGAGCAATGAATGGTTTAACAATTATGTGTGATTTATCTGACGTATCTTTAGGAACAGTTAAAAATGCTTCAATTTAAATTTGTACACAGACATTATTAGTATAAAATTTGATTTAAATTTCTAGTCAGTACTTTTGTAGTTAAAAAGTAAAAATGCAAAGTAATTTTCGAAATAATCAGGAAAAAACAATTAGAAGAATACCTATCTATGAAAATTTTTTCACTAAATCAGTGGATCATAAATTCAATTTTGTTATTTTTTTTTAATCGAAATTTAAAAAATAAACAACAGAATAAATTTGAATTGTATATAAAAATATATTTATAATAGCTTTTTCTGGACATTATAATATGATTTTCAAAATATTTTATACTATTTATGTAACATTTGAAATTTCCTACTTTTTTAAGATTAGTTTTCGGTTTCTGTTTGATAATTTGATAATTTGATCATAATATAATTATTATTATGATCGTAAGTAAAAAAAAGTATGAAAATATAATACAATTTTCTTTATAAATTGTTTTCACCTCATGTATCATTAAAAATAGATAGGTAATCACATTATTTTACAAGCGTTTAAAGATCAAATTTTTATAATAACTGACAACACTATGAAAATATGTAAATTATTTCGTAGTTAACGATTTATAAGATTCATAAGTTTAACATCTAAGGTTTGAACTTTTGAAGTATAATAATAGTATAGTAATAGTATAGTATAGTAACATGATTCCTACTAAGTTTTTCTTTTGGAATTTAAAATAGTTAAACGTAAAAACACATACATTTTTTATGAGTTTAAATTTTGATGATAGTGCTTGATATTCAAACGTTATGTATATGGATTTATTCTCAACAGATTTTTTTAGTTTTGTTATTTTTTAAAAATAAATAAATATACTACACAATGACTTGAATAATAATTTAATATACCCGATAAAATCTTCAAAATATTCTGACTAACTTTAAGATATTTGTTTTATATATTCTAATTTATTTAGTTTTTTTTTTTTCAATAAAGCCAATAAAGGGTATCGAACATATTCAATTTTGACCTCCCAAAAGTACTAACTAGATCCAATTTGCTAACAGAAACTTCTATCAAATTTGATGATCAGGGCTTTTTTCTACAAGTAAAAGTGTTTTCAGATACAAAAAAAAACACACACACATCATTGTAAAATCAATACATTCATATTATGTATGCTCAAAGTCTAAAATATTATATTAATTATTATATAATAAATATACCTATGCGATTTGTTTTGGGCAAAAATAAGTGTATACCACCATATTATAGAACTAGTAGAAAAATCAACAACTTATATAATTAATAATACATAAAATACTATTAGAATTAAATTATTAATGTAAATAATACTGTTATCCCCATGGCCATGTCGCCGAGGGTATTTTTATTAATAAAAAATAAAAATACATAGTGAAATATCCATAGAATTATAGGCTGATAAGCCGTCTTTACTCAGAATCACTTTTGTATCGTTGAATTATTATTGAATTCAAATTTAACACATTCATCTATACTTGGATACCTATTGGTATTAACACCAAAAAAGAAAGATGCAACTAAATTTGGTCATGTATAAATCATTTGTAGATGCATGTGTGGATATTTTAAATCTAATAGCAATGTTAAATGATTGCATATTAAAACCATAATTTCGAACAAATTTTAGCTTGTCTAAGATGGTATTAAAACATTTCATCACTATTTCTTATTTATTTTTTCACCAGTTTCCCATTAACTTCAATGAATTCTTGAAAATTACCACTCTGAACCTCTATTTAAATTTTAAATTACCGTAAATACTGTCTATATTATATCAAACTCACAATCAATTGATGAGGTTTCATAAAATACTTTGAGCAATATTTCTCAGATCCTCATATGCTTCGAATATAGATACATAGTACATTAAATAAATTCTTTGCCAGAATCTAAACACGTTTATGCATATTATCATCACCCATGATTGCACAGGTTAATGTATAAATTGAAATGTAACAATGTAGATAATATTAATTTGAAATTAGAGAGCCTGAGAGGTTTGTATTTCTTATCTTTCATTTGTCATTTATTTTTAAGCCCATCGTATTTAATGAACGGATTTAATGTGGAAACTTATCAAAAATATTAGTACTTGTCCAACTAAATGGAATTTTAGAGTAATATCACACTTGACTCAAACTCAGTAGGTTGATTAATTTACATTTTAGTTAACGCACTTACACCAATAATTCCTATAATATGTTTACATGTTTTCATGTTTACTGCGGTTTACAATACAATATACTTATTAGACAAATTATAATAAGTACGTAACTCTAAACTTTAACACGAATGTATACAATTTTATTTATAGGATTTCTACGTTAAATTTGTTATTAACAACATATTGACCTAGTACTATAATACATTTATTAGTAAAGTTATAACTTTTAAGTTACAATGACACTCATATTATTATTCTCATAAACATTAAAAGTGTATATAATAGATTGTCCTTAATGTTTACAATGAGTAACTTAACAGTATTCAAAATAAAAAAATGCAATAAGTCTGCTTTAGAAATGATTAATTTATACATTCAAATTACTTATCAAAATAACTTATCTTAATGATGCCATTGAATAATAGATTTCAATATTCAGATTACGTTCTCCAGATACCATAACTGTTCCGTTGTTTGGCCCAAGTTTCAAATTTAGTATGCTTCTATTGATTTTTCTTTTCCACTCCCAGGTTTATTTCAATAAAACTTACATTTTTTTGGCTTTAATATAATTGTATAACGATAAAAAAATGGTTAACTAAGATATTATTTAACTTTAAATACCTATAATATAAATTTACTTTTTTAAACTTACTAAGTTCTTCGTTACGAAATGGCGTATTTCTTTGTGGATGGTTCTAAAACTAATTGAGTTTCTGACTGTGTAAATTTAAACTGAAAATAAATAGTAAAACTAAGTTTCTGTAACGATGTTGGAGCTATGAGTTATGAAAATCAGCTATTCCCATTACATTTAAAATCGATAACACATTTTTCACATAGCTGTTCAGTGCACACGCCTAAATCTTATATTTTTCTTATGGAGTGACCTCTTAAAAACTAATGATCTAACCGACACGATGGACCATAGAGTAACGCCCAACACTTAACGCCCAAAAATAAATCTTAGTATAGTGGGTATACTTGATGGTCTTTCCATTAAGCCATACGAAAAATATCGTTTGTACGTTTCAATTATGATAATTATTATGATTGCACTTGTTCATCAAAATTTTCCTATTTATAAAAATGCTTTAATTTTAATCCATTTAAAACATAATGCTTGAAACTTTTGCCAAAACATAAACACGTTGTCTAATGCATCAACGAATAATCACATTTTATATAGTATACGTTAGCCGAAGATGTGCAATCATAAAAGTATTTATACGTATTAAGCAATTTAATCTATATTTTACTTGGTGTTTTTCTAACTATACTAGACATGCAATTAAAAAATTACAAATTACAGTATGTACTGGCCGAAAAGCATGGCGGTTTTTTTTTATCTACGATTCACATATTTCGGTTTTTTTTTTATTTGTTATCGTAATTTTTTATCTGCACATATTATAATAATATGCCTGTTGTAATTACTTTTTGTTCAAGTTTTGTTGTGTATACCTACCTACCTACGCTTAATAATTGTTAAGAACAAAAAAAAAATCCTTTTACCTCGATCGCGTGTCATTAAAAAATAATAATATAAATTTCCATTTGTATAGTATCATGCATGCCTATATCATATTGATCTCAGGCTATTCCACACTAAATATTATAAATAACCGATCGAATAATAGTTCTGACAACAACACGATTGTTCGACCTATATACCTATGTGCTAAATCGATAAAACAATATTCTAATGTAGTGGTCTTCAAACATGATAATTGAGTTGACTCGTAAAGTCGTAACCCATTTTGGAAATATTTTTTTTTTTTTGTAAATTTATGTCAGATCTTATATGAACAAAAAAAATCAATATACATTTGTAATCAGGCTATAAGAATTACCTATACTGCAGTTACATTGTTTTAAATATGTATACTAAGTAGCGGAGCGAGGATTTTGCTTTTGGGGGATGATAATTTGTTATAAGGAAGGCTTAACTAGGATCCAACATAATTTTGGTAATCTGCCGTTTCCATGGGTATACCTATAACATTTAACATTTTAGACTTTTACAGCAACCTTGGGAAAGGCTACATGGTATCAGCCCTATCAGTAAAATATGCATTATTTTAGGTACGCTTCTAGATTCAAATACAATTGTATGTATATCATTTTTATAAGATGATATTGTAGTATATCGTATAAATTTACAAGATTGACAATTTTTCAATGATTATTTTCATGTAGTCGTTTTGTTTGAAAAATGTTAATAGGTACAAATGTACAATGATAGTTTTAACAATAATTTATTGTTATTTAATTAGGTGTTCAGGTTGTGTAATTATTTTTTATGTAATTTTTTATAATTGTTTTGTTCTTTGTTACAGCTGCGAAAGCACACGTCATCGACATTGTCGATCACTAGTGGGATGAAGGTTAGCGGTTCAGGTGGCCGAGGCGATAGCGGCGTAGTGGGCGAGGAAGCCGGCATAGCATTGGTTAGCATACATTCCGACTATCCCCGCTACACCGAAGAACGTACCGGGTTGGTGTGCAAGGTACCTATATCATACTCATAACCTTCTAATTATATTACCGTAGATATTATAATGTTGACGATTGCCTCTTCCAGTTAGTGGCCAGTGGGTACCTACCTATAAAACAGCGCTTGAGTGTCTGGAAATTTGACTACGTAATATTTGCCATCTCTCCCGTTCTCCTGCAGATAATATTATTATACCCTCATAAATATCTACTTATTTACGGCGCAGAGGGTATATTACAAGAGCGCTCGTTTGATATGTAGGTACAACTGGCAGCGTGTGTCGTAGAGAGTAACGCAAACTCGGCGTGGCCCTCTTTTTATTATTTTTCTTAACGCATTTAAAAACCTAATTTTCCTCCACCCCACCAGCGCGATATTAATGGACTCGAAAATATCCAACCATAAAAATGATAAATGTTCTACTTGAAAGTATAAAAAAACAAAAACAAAAGGAAAACAATGCAAGACAAATGTAGACCGTTCGGCCGTCCTGAAAACGTTATTCCGACAATTTTCTATGATTAAACCGCAAATAATCATCATCTGCGTTGTGTAAGATTTTATATTCTTTCTGGCTCCGTCGCCGACGGCCGTACAGAGTGGGATGTGAGAAAGACGACTCGGAAAACACTACAGTATTATAGTTTTTGGATTTCAACAAAAACATCCACGATTTCGGTTTAAGTCTTATATAATTGAAACTCAGACAAAACCACGCGTCCAATACACGGCACGAAATAATATGTTGTTTATACATTCGATTATAGCATTATAGCACTATCATTCGATGTCATGTAATCCGAATAAAGTTTAATATTTATTGGTTTCTCCCTACCCCTTCACTGTTTACAAATGACAACAACGCATACAGTATATAATATTAAGTTTTGAAATACATCCGGAGTCACTACTTATTTGTGAACATTAAGCAATCGATTATACTGCATGTCATACGATAACCCATACCATATACATAAATATTAATACTATTACAATGATTTACAGTACTGAGTACTACCAGTGATATCCTCTATTCGAAATTGACTATTTAAGCTATCTATATAATCAATTTTATCATACAAATTGAGTGTCAATTTAGAATACATTTTGTTACGACTATTTCAAAACGTTATTAAAATACATAGGTTTTTCATCTTTAATTTTTAATAAAATCTACAAATAGCATTTATTTATTGAATTGAATATGTGAATACAAATATTCCAAAATAATTATTTATAAACAAATACCCGTTATTACACATTAACTCCATATAATATCTTTGTAGGTTTTGGCAGAAATTGGTATTCAAACTCACATAGATATAATTTTCAATGTCGGAATATTCAATATAGTACAAAATATTTTTTAAAAAAAAACGATAATAAATTAACAATTTAACAATTTAAAACTATATTTTAAGACAAAATCATTTAAACATTTCACTTAATAACATTTTACTTATTGATACACCCACCTAAAAAATATTATTATTGCTTTTAAGTAGATTATAAAAAACTAAAATTTAGTTTTAAAAAACATCTTTTTTTTAAATAATATGCACTTTTAGAGATTGAATTAATTGAATGTTGATAAGTGGTAACTGCTAATACGATTTACATTAATTGTATCTAAATTAATTATTTATACTTAACTGTCATAAATACATAAATTTATAATTTATTACTTTCATATACTATAGGAATATGAAATGGGTTTCCATAAGGGTGTAAAGGTTTTTATCAATATTACTATACTTAACTTTGACCAATTAGGTATCTCATTTATTTCAACTCACATTTAACTATTTGACTTATAATTAAAAATTAATTTTATGATAAATATATTATATCCTGTATTCCTGTAGGAGAAGATACGATATTCAAGTTACAAAAATAGTTGGAATTTTAAAATAATCATATGAGATGCTTGTCATTTTTGTTATATATCTATATGCACCACTCCGTATATTCAAATGACCCATTTAATGTTATGCATATTATTAATATTCGTACTCTGTATGTTTATATAACTGATCATTTCATCCTTAAATTAAAATATACAGCGCGGGGTACAACTTTGCATAATATAATATAGGCACTATATTATGCACTTCATTAAAGTTCAGTGAAAAAATGATATTTTTACGCAAAATTTAACCTTTCCTGAACGGAAAGGATATAAAAATCTTTACTTATTCCATTTTAAACTGATTCAACATTTTTCCGCCCCACTGTAGGTAATCACTACCGGAGTATCGAGGATTTTCTTTTTGCATCTCGACTTCCTCGCAATTTGCTTAAGATCCTGCGTGTGTATACTGGATTAAGGTCGAGAAATCTGCTTTACGCCGGTTTCCATCGCTCTTCCACTCATACTCACAAATAAGTATGTGTGTGTGTGTGTGTGTGTGTGTGTGTAATAAAATACCACGCACGACGCACCCACACAGCTGAAATCTCCTCCTCATTTTTAGACGCTTTAGTAAAGCTCCAAGAAATCGTTTGGAAGACAGAGTGAAACCTTTGGTAGAATCGATAAACTCGCTCATAGTACCGGTTAAAACAAACGAACCATAAATTTTAATGGCAGCAATCTCTTTATGACAATATCTCAAGTGCTTTATTAGCATGTAAAAAAGATAAACCGTTTGTGATAAGACAATAATATTTATTAAACATCATACAGTCGGAAAAGCATTAATCAAATATTATACTCGTACGATTCGTCGTATTAATTAAAATGTATTATATCCAACTACCCGGCAAGCCCACGCTAAGTATAAAAAAGAGCACCTTAAAATAAAAAGAAAATAGCGCCTAAAATACACACATAGGCAAAACACACACTTAACTGCAGGACAATATTATATAACAGCAAAAAACACGATTTACGAAATCAATTTCTGGCAAAAATTGTGAAAATTATATGGATAATAAATAATTTAAGAAATATACTCATGTCAGGAAATTCTCAGAATTAATATTTTGAAAAAAGTTATTACGTTCTAAATTATATTGATTAAAAAAATTCTAAAATATAAACTACTTGATTTCGATAAATGTTTTTAACATCAAAGTTGTTTTTATAATCAGATTTACAAATTGGCAATTTTGAATTTTTCTAAATTTTTATTTTCTGTATTAAATTTTTTTTTATTATTTACTTGTAACTTAAGTGACTAAACATTATATATATAAAAAAAAATTTTAATATTGATTAGAACAAAAGTTATGTCTGTCATCTGTCAGTCTTTCTGTTACTCCTTGTAAAGGATAATATCAAAATAATATTTAAATCATAAAACCTATATGTTTCTATATCAAGTATCTTGTACCTATGGATGATAGTATACAACATTTTTATTTTCATAACTTGCGCTCGTCGTTTAACTCTAAAAACACGTTCCCATGTTTCTCCAATATTAGAGGGCCGGTTTTTGCGTTCTTTGCTTTGAAAGGTATAATGCCGTGCAGATCGGTGCCGGTTTTGAGTCGATCTGCCCAAAATTCTAATCACATGGGCCATTTCAAGTCTCCGGAATGCACGGCCGTCGGCCACCGTACAACAGCGCGACACGTAAGTTTAATTTAATCTTAATCTTATCGGCGTTCAGAGGTCGAACGTTATCGACAACTGCAGCGAACCGGCATGACGAGGCCCACACCTCAAACGCCATATATACACCTCGTGTGCAGAAATGCATAAACACCACTGAGTATACAACGAAGTGATTTTTTTTCTACATTTTAACTAGCCGCCCCGTCGAACCACTACCGAGACCATGAGCGCAAAGCAGAAGTCACGTTGCCCCGGCTGTGGAAAAGAGTTCATCTCTGTTAATGATCATTTAGCAAGAGAGTCCGGCCCCTGTGGAGCTATTCGAGCGCAAAGACTCATTGATGCAACTCCCGGCCTTCCGTCACAGGCACAGTAAACCCAATAGGACAAAATGGTCGAGCTGCGAACGCTGAGGCACACGCAAACAATTAGGCTAACGACAGTCTATGCATTATAGCTCTAGAATCCAATGCATACGCCGAGAGACTTACGACTTTCGCCAACATGGCCAGTCACCCGAACTTACTAAAAGTTTCGATAAGCTCGTTTCGGAATTCTTAGTGTTTTTATTCGAGACAAATAACAAGCTGCCTGGTTTTTCTGACGATACCACAATAATCGCCAAACACTTGGCCAGCGCTACCACTCTCGTGAACATAGCCAAAGACCTATTTGCTAACGAAGGAATTCAGACAAACCCAACCAAATCTACGATCATCAACGTAGAAGACTGACAGCTAGTGCCAAAGAATCTAACACTCTTAGACAATTCAGTAATCTCTCCAGGGAAAGGCAACACCTGAATAAAATATCTAGATTTTAATTTCAAAGAAGAAAATAGTTTTCAACGGCAAGAGTTCTCTCTCTCAATTAGAAAAGGATTTTAGAAATTTAGTAACTTCTCCTCTACTGCATGGAGACCAGAAACTTAACATACTAGACCAATATGTTTACTCAAATCTAATATTATATCCTATGCAAACCACTCCCGTAGACCTTCTCGATAAGGTAAGAGAAGGAACCAGGGAGATAATATGTGTACTTCCCGCCGACACTCGATTCTGGTTTAGTACACGGGTAGGAAATATCGGGGCCTCGGAATGTTAAGAGTGACATGAGAGGCTTCTATTCAGCATATCGCCATCGCCCAAAAGTTAGAGCGCGTCCAAGAGCCACACATTATACGAACTATATGTACACGAGTATTGAACGGTAAACTGTGTCGTAAGGCAACTCACAAAGTGAGCAGTCTGCTATATTTATATATTTATATTAATAAAGTTGTTTATATATAAGTAACTACAGATAACAGTATACAACTTGAATACATTTTCAAATTATATATTAAGTATAAAAGTTAAATGTTCAATTTATTCAGTTGTATGGTGTTTTTTTTTTTTTCAGGGTACCAGCTTAGTAGGTTCCAGTGGTAATATAACCGGCAGTAAACACAAACCAAACGTCGGATACAGACTGGGTAGGCGTAAAGCACTTTTCGAAAAACGAAAAAGAATCAGTGATTACGCTCTAGTGATGGGAATGTTTGGAATTATAATCATGGTCATCGAGAATGAGTTGGCCAGTGCAGGAGTATACTCGAAAGTAAGTCTATAATATACTATTATTCATAATGTGATCGGTAGGTACGTGTCTATCAGTATCACATTATGTAATATTCCACAACTTAGAATATTAAATGGTTTATTTTGATGATTACTTTCTCAGAGTTATTTGGATACTTATATAAATATTGATATTAAAAACGACATAAATTATAAAGATGTCAACATTTCCCAATAAAACATATCTATAAACGATTTAGTCTGATTTAAAATACAATTCAAGCTACAGTAGTTATATTGAATTAATAATAATAGATTCTTATGGTCTAGTAATTTATAATCAAAGACAGTACTTAATTCTTATATTAGTAATTAGAACCATTTTTTGAGTTATATTCAAATTTATTTATTTAAGTACTAAGAGTTGTTAACTAACAAAGACTTACAGCTATAATTAAATCTTTATAAATTATCTAATAATTACCATGTATCCATGTATCCAATCATTGAAATTATTTGTTTAGTTATTTAATCTTGATAGTAGAATATTAAACAGCAATAATAGATACATATAGTTTTATCCTATAAAAAGATCTGAAAGGTGCCTAATTCGTATATATTTGATAACTAATAACTAATAAGTATATGGCACAGCGACTAAAATTATTATCATTTAAACAAATTTAAAAATTGTAGCTTAATGAAAACGTTATTGATTGTGTTATTATGCATACATAATATTACACTTAAATTTGATTTTCTAAATAATATTTTGATTAACAATTACTTTTTCTAACAATATATATTCTAACTGAATACCTATTTTTCAAGATATTTCAACTATATTTTATAATTGTATCAATTGCCAATTATACATATATTTCAAAAACTAAATTGAAAAGAAAATATATTAATAAGGTTTCAACTACGAATTCAAAGAAAAACTACATAATATATAAAGTATAATTTTTTTCGCAAACGCATTACAATATTGCTAACAAAATGAATAAGAACCATTTTATTACATCAGAAATATTTAAGTCAATAACAAAATACCATTACATATATTTTTGTATAAATATTAGTTTCAAGGTTGTGACAAATACCTATAATACCTGTAAATTATGGTTAACAGTCATTAAAATAACCATACTTAAAATCGATATAAAAAATGAGCCATACCAAACAAAACAAACATTTTTAAATCTACAAGTTTTTAAATGGAAAGGAAAAATTATTATAATTTATGTAATCAATTATTTTAAAAGTCAACAAAGTCAATTTATAGCTTAGAATTTGTAGTAAAATCGGATTATATAGTTACCTACTATTCTGAAATAGATCAAATCCATAAAAATTTGATAAAAATAAAAATACAACAATTACATTAATAATATGAATTATACTTATTATATAATGTAATCGTGAAGTTGTCTTATTATGTTCTCATCACAAAAACAATAAATATCTGATTAAAATTATAAAACTGTAAATACCATGTACCTACAACCTACACTTTATAAGTTTATACAAAACCTTGTAAATTTATTGTAGGTATAGAATAATAATTTAAAACCGCTTGTCGAAATAAGTATTTAAGCATAGTTTCATCCTTACATTTTGAATTATACAAAAAAAGTTAAATTAAATTGCATTACTTGTTGACAAAAAATACCAACGTTATGTAAATAATTAAACTGTAAGACAATATTATTGACAAATATCTATAGAATAATAGTATATGAGACATGAAAGCCATAAATCATGAAAGCTTGTTAGGAAAATCAATGAAAACCCAAGAGCACAGTAGTAGACCTTTATTAATATAATAATATAACAACGAATCAAGTTGCAGTACAACAGCTATTGATGAATGGGAAACCGTGTAACATAATACAGACTACTGAGCTTATTTTAAAGATAAAGAGGGCCAAAATGTTAGTGGGTAAGTGGCAACTCGGTTCAAATGAGAATTAAACAAATAAAACGGATAATATAATTGTAAAATTAATTAGTTCTTCACATTGCCTCGAACATAAAAAAACCATTGACTCCTTTATTTTAGTTTCAAATAGTTGAAAAAGTATTGTACTCCGGTAAACGAATTAAATTAAGTAATTAATAATTGTTCTTAAGTGAAACGTTTTACTATGCTGAAGTATGATATGAAATATGCATAACTTATGTGGATTGTAAATACAATTATACGAATCATAATACTTAAATGAATACAAAACTAGAATTATAAGATTCTAACGCAACATGTTGAACATAGTGAAAAATAGTTGAAAACGTTTCACGGAATAAAGTATAAACAATACACATATTTTATAGAAGTATTTTCGTTAAATTTTGGGCACTGTAAACTTTTAAGAATAAGTTAGTGAAAAACAAAAACTTAGCTTGTAAACGCCATTTATTTCCAATTTCATATTCTTTCCAATAACTTAAATCAAATTCTCAAAATATTTCCAGTTCACCAGTTATTACACAGTATTAGCTTAATATTTCAATTTGGATTTTGGAGTAAAGCGATTTTTCATGCACTCTGCTTACTTCTGCTGCTAACACCCTTCACGTTTAGTTTTATTATATTTACGTCAATATAATATATAGCTGATTGAAATCTCGTTTGCGTTATTTTATTTTAAAAACGTATTTATTCATCCGTAATGATTGAGCAGATCTATTAATGATAACCTTAGGACCACATACTGTGTGTACGCTGTATAGAATAAGTCCTATAAAATGTTATAAAAAATGGAGGAAAATAATTAATACCTACAACGAAAAGCCCATAGGAAATAATTATCAAAGTATGAAAAACGGAAAAATTCCTGAAGAAGGCTATGATATGTCCAACTCACAAAAAGGGAGATATGGAGGATTGCTATAATAATAGTGATTTTAATTGTACCACATAAAATGTAATCAAATTTAATTAAGGATACATGATACAGATGAAAGGGAAATTTGCAAATGATGGATATCGAGGTGCTAATATAAATATTTAATGAAAATTGTAAATCTTTACCATTTTGGAATTACAATCAAAAACAAATATCAGAAACATGTTTTACTTAAAAATTCCCGTTTTTCTCAATTATTTTGGAAAGTACTGACAAATTTTTACTTTTAGCTCCATAGTACCTAACCAGAAGGTGGCCAAGTTGAACATCTTTTACCGTTTTACTGCTCCAGAGATGATGACAGATACAAGTAAAAAACTCACATCATTGTAAAACCAATACAATTATCGCTACCCTCAAAACTAAAATATCAATAACTGGTTTTCATTATTTTTTTTATAAGCGTTTATTATTAAAATGTTGAGGTAATATGTGATAATATACAATATTAAGTACGAAATAAATTATTAGGTAGATAAATGTGTACGATGTACCTATTAAATTATTAATTTAAAGAAGTTAAACCTCAAAATCAAATACATGGTGAATATTGAATAGTATAATATTATATTATCCTACCTATTATTCTTCTTCTTCTCGAGCTTTTACAGTACCTTGAAGGACTTTTGCTGCCTCTACGACGTTCCTCCATCTATCTCTGTCAACGATGTCTGCTATTGTCTCTCCCTGGGTGCACTTATTGAGATCATCCTATAACAAAATAAATAGAACAATAATTATTATCTTAGTAAAAACTTAAAATCACTTTTAATCGTTCTTAATATAAATATTAATAGAATGTAAAATATCCTTAGAAATAAAAACGAACAGACAATGTCCTCTAGGAATCAATTTTTTTAATTTCCGTGGATTTATTAATTTATTATTAAATTTAAATTAACACATATATTACAGTGATCTACTCACTGAAGAAATAGGAACACTATAAAACTATTATACAGCAGTGCGACTTCTCCCGATTTTATTCATTATACCTACTTACTAAAAATCGAATTAATTCTTTGCCATCAATAAAATATTATTTTTAACCATCTTAGCAAAGCGAGCTTCCTGGTATTTCTTTTTCTTCAATAGTTAATACCATAATACCACAAATAAATATTGTACAACCAAATTTAATTTAATGTTTATATAACATGCCCATTGCCCTCGGGTTCTCTGTTATTAGGTATTATTCGTATTAATATATTTTAATAATATATTATATTATGCATTATTTATGTAAGTGTACACGAAATAGTAAATATGATATTTCACATATTAAGTATTTATTAATGTAAGCTATGCAGGGGAAACGTTTAAAAATGACAAAGAAATTAATAATATAATCTATTTCTAAGTTATTTTTGTATAAATATACAATACAGGTACCTACTATAATACAATATATTATTACACAACACATTATTACTCAGCTACGCGTAATTAAATATTTATTAATTAATGAGTTATGTTTTCGAGTGTTCTACTTCACATTTCATATTAAATGTTGATAAACAAATATGTTAATGATCTTCTATAGGTGTTTAGAACACTTTAACTAATAAATAATTTGGTAGCTAACAAATTACATTATAGTTAATCTGCAACCATTCGATTTAAGGTCCTCATTCTTTAAAATAATGCAGGAATAGAAAAATATTTACATACGTGAATTTATTGTTTATATTCAGGCGTGTGCGATTAGGTCAGTGTCACCAACAATACGAAAGGTCGGTTTAGGTAGATCGATTGGTTGAGATTCTATGAGCATAACATTCGTCACGGTGCTGTCACTATAAATAAGCTAGGCATTACCACCTTGCGACACGATTAGAGTAGTGACAAGATATCTCGATTGTAGACATAGGTAATATATTTCACCGTTCTACGAATCGATCTTTTAGTAACAATAGGGGATGATGGAAAATGTTTAGTTGCTGACGGAGATCAATATAGGACATTTTTCAACGAAACTATTATTCCGTTCGCAATGGTGTATTATTCGAGAAATGTTGCCTTTTTAGTTGCCTTGCTGCCAATATGTACCTAGCTACAAAAAACAAAAATAATAAAGCTTCAGTTTATAAATTTACTTAAAACTAGTTTACTGTTAAAAAATATAAGATAA